CCCCCCCCCGTGGGCACTTTCATCCAATGAGACTTGAGGCTGGAGTGACCCCGCTTGGGAGGGAAAGAGGCACTTCCACCAGGGTCTGCAGGAAGCTCCTGGGCCGAGCCTGAGCAGAGCCGGGCGGGGAGGGGGCTGAGCTGCTTCCCTAAGTATTCTGGATTTCGTTTTGCATCTGAATTACCCTCCTGAACATTTTCGGGGTGAAGGGAAACGCTCTTCCGTGATGGGTCACTGGCGCTGCGCAGTCTGGCGGCATCCAGTCCTGGGCTCTGGGGTGGTGGGGCGTGGACCCTACACTGGGCACTGTCCACTCCCAGGGACGTGCTGGGCTTAGCTGCGCCAGGTTCTGTTTTCACATTTGGGGCGCAGGGAGGAGCCAGCAACCTCCTGGCAACCTCAGCTCTCTGATGGGCTCAAGAAAAGCTCTGATTTTGTAGATATTTGGCTTCTTCTTGTTGTTGGGATGGGAGTGGCATTCTCTGGCCCGAGGACAGCAGAGACAGCCGGGGGTGGACACATCACCAGCATGCTCGGGGCAGCAGTAGCTCCAGAGGGTCAGAAAGCCCCAGCAGAGAACCAAGTGAGGGGGGCGGGGAGCTGGGAGGGACAGAGCCACGGGCAGGCTCCGGGTCCAGCTCAGGCGTGGGGGGGACTGGCCTCCTCTGTGCGCCACACGCGCCCAGGGATGCTCCAGGGAGGGGGGGGCAGAAGGATAGTGGCAGCTGGAGCCAAATTTAACTTGACTCTAAAAATAAAAGTGACACACCCTGGCCGGTCTGGCTCAGTGGTTAGAGCGTCGGCCTGAGCACTGAAGGGTCATGGGTTTGATTCTGGTCAAGGGCACGTACCTCGGTTGCAGGCTGGACATCTGCCCCCTGTCAGGGCAGGTGCGGGAAGCAACCAATCGATGTGTCTCTCTCACATCAACGTTTCTCTCTCTCTCCCTTCCACTCTCTCTGAAATAAGCAATAGGGGGAAAATATCCTTGGGTGAGGGTAATAAATAAATAAAATAAAAGTGACACTTTTTTGCACCCTGATCGAAATGATGCAATTCATACCCGTTACATAAACGCAAGGCTCCTGTGGGATTTAAAACAACATAAAACAACCCCCCCCGCCCGCACCAAAGAACACTTGAAATGTCTAAAAGCAGAGGACAGCCTCGAGCTCTACCCTGTGGGCAAGGGCAGCCTGGCGCCCCCACGGTGCTCAGGGTGCTACACCGGACGCTCACCTGCTCGTCCGTCAGAGCCTGGACGTGGCGCGTGCAAACGGCCCGGAACTCGTCCCGCGAGGCGGTGTTGGTCTTCGCGGTGTCCAAGTTCTCAAAGTCCTGGGCGATGGCCTGGTAGTGGGAAGCCACCGCTTTGCGCAGCTGGGCCAGGAGCTCTTGTTTGGCCACCTCCTTGGGAGACCTGGGTGGCGAGGCTTTGGGCATTTTCTCAGCCCACTCGGCAGCAGTCTGGGCAAGAGAGAAGGGAAGAGGAACCTGATTAGTAAGTAACAGGTCACCCCCTGGCCCCGGGCCCGTCACCCACGGCAGGGCCCGGGAGAGAGGCCCAGCTGAGCCGGGAGACAAGGCGGCCCCCATGGGGGTCTAAACAGGATCCAAACACAGGTGCCAACGTAGCTGCTGTAAAGAAGCAAAAATGAGTCCCACGGGCAGGGCGACACCGAGCCGGNCCCGCCTCTCGCTCGCGTCCGCTCATTTGCTTGGCCTGTCCCTCGGCTGGTTCAACAGACACACCGAGCGCCTGCGCCCGCGGTAAGGGGCTAAACGGGGCGGGGCGGGCGGCCTGCACTGCCCGGCCCAGCTCCGGGCAGCAGGCGGGGAGGGGCACGTCTGCGGACCTTACTGCCTCACGCTGGGCACCCGCTGTCCGTGGTGCTGGGGCGCCAGGGCAGGGACGGCTTGAGCTTGAGCGGGAAGGTGGCCGTGCGGCCAGAGGGCTCACGGGCAGGTGAGGTGGGCCGAGGAGGACGGCAGCCCACACTCGACGCCGCCCATCACGACGGTGGACGGACGGAGCGGCAGGACTAGCGGCCTAGGGGAAGTGACTGGGTGGCCGTGAGTGGGTGCTGAGAATGACGGGGACCTCTGTCTACCCTGGGGCGCTATGGAGACTGGAGCTCAGAGGAAAGAGCCGTGGGGGCAGCTGAGTCCTGAGCCCCCTGCAAGGAGACAGAGGTCGGGGGTGGGCAGGGCGGGCGGCTGGGCTCCGGGAGAACCCAGGGCTGACCCTGTTCGTGGGTGTGTCTGAGCCATGCTGGGGCTCCCCACGCGAGAGCCCACCGTGCCCGCGCCGAGGCCTTCACCACACCACCGCGCCTAATCCCCGCCTAGCCTTAGACGGGTCCTGCCCGGCCGGGCGTGGCTCAGGGCTTGAGCATCGACCTAGGATCCAGGAGATGGGGGTTCGATTCCCGGTCGGGCACATGCCTGGGTTGCGGGCTGCAGCCCATCAGTGACTCTCTCATCACTGATGTTTCTCTCTCTCTCTCCCCCCCTCCTTTCCTCTCTCTGAAATCAATAAGGATATGTTTTAAAAAAACAAACAAAAACAAAAAAAAAGCGGGGTCCCGATTCACTTCCAGCAACTCCACAGCAGGATATGCTCTATGTGGCCGCCCCTCAGGACAGAGCACAGCGCTGCTTTAGGAGAGCGGGTTGATCACAGAATAGAACTATCTTCCAAAATGTGCACCCCCGAACCACAGCCCAGCCCAGCCCCCACCACCCGCAGGCTAACAGGAGCTTTGAAGTATGTCCACGACTGTGCACTGAAAGGTGTGATCCCCGGTCAGGGCACGTGCCTGGGTTTTGGGCTGGATCCCCGGGACGGGGTGTGCAGGAGGCAGCCGATTGTTTCTCTCTCCCTCTCCCTTCTTCTCTCTTTAAAATAAATAACATTTAAAAAATCGTAACTTCATAGTATAAACCTGTAGTTCTGAATCCTGCCATTTCGCAAATCACCAAGTGGCTGCCCTGCTCCCACAGGCGGGGTCAGAGGGGGGTGGCCCAGGTCGGGGCCTGCACAGAATTCCCCTGGAGCCCATCCCTCCCGCCGGCCCCAGGGCCCCCGTCCTGCAGTCCTGCAGCCAGAGGCCTCTGGCCCGGCCTCGGGCTCCACTAGGGTTTCTCCCAGAGCACACCCGGCTGCAGGCCGACAACTGGGGAGCGCCCTGCAGGCAAGGTGCTGGGATCCCCAGCCCGTGTCCCTTCCCCGGCAGCTTAGGCCGGGCCTGCCGTCAGTGCCTCGCACCGGCCTGCAGAGCCTGCCCGCCTGGGGCAGGGCTGGAGGAGGGGCACCTGTCCCCAAGCTCCGCAGCTCCGAGGACCAGGCTCCCAGCAGAGCTTCAGTGCACCCAAAGCTGCTACGCGACCGACTCCAGGAAAGAGCCCACCGCCCTGTCAGCCAGCTACGTCCAGACAGGTTCTTGGCTGACTTATAAAACCAACCTTCCACTCAGTCGTCTCCTGAACAACGTCTCTAGATAAACGAAGAGAGCACACGGCAGGGAGGGGGGCTGACCTGTCAGACAATCAGGGCCATACGCACACGTCGGTTCCCTTGCAGGGTGGTGCCTTCAAGGCACCATTTCTTGCTACCGCTCTCCTTGGGGTCTTGCTTTGTGACTCTGCCCTTTGCCTTGTGACCCCGGGGTCCTCCCACTGTGGAGGGAGACACTCCCCGGTCCCTGTGCCTTGGGTCAGCCATAGGACTAGCTCTGGCCGGGGAAGGTCGGCAGGTGTAACGCGGCCGGCACAGCTCTGAATTTGCAGCAAGTAGGAAGTAAAAGGGATGAGCTCCGAGCACGGGGAGGAGAGGTCAGCGGGGGCAGCTTCCCTGAGGGTGCGACAAGGGGACGTGTGACGTTCCCTGTGGGTGTCCGAGGTGACAGTCACCTGCCCGGGAGCAGGGCGCACTCGGCTGGCTGACTAGAGACACATCGGTGTTAGTTTAACTGTCACGGAGGCTTTGAGGAGCTAATCCAACTGCATGGCTCTTCCACTAGGTCTGTTCTGACTCCGCAGGGGTCCGGCGCAGCTCTCCCAGGACCTTCTGCGGAGGAGGGAGCCCCGCAGGCCGGGTGCACCCAGGGAGGAGCCCCTCCACCCCGGGCAGCGGTGCGCCGCTCCCAGGACTGAGAATCGCTTCACGTGATCAAATATTTTGATTAGCAAAGGAATTAATTGCACTGTATCCTCATTTGTATTTACAGTGAATGGATGCTGAAAATAACAACAGCAGCAAAACTGCCTGTCAAAAAGAAAAAAAAAGATAAAATATTAAAAAGTCCAGAGGAGAAGGAACGGGAGCTCCGTGTGTGAGCAGACCGCGGACAGACCGGGGCCCGGGATGGTGACTCCCACGGCCCTGCCCCCCCAGGGAGGGCCCGTCTGTGAGAAGGTCTCCATCTCAGCGACCGCTGAGTGGGGCCAGGAACCCAGGGTGCTGCCTGCAGGGTCAGGGAGTCTCCCCAGGAGTCCAGGAGCAACCCCGGTTTCCTGGAGGCACCATGGCTGCCTGGGCCTGAATCTCACCACACAAGGGTTCTTCCTGGGCAGCGGATGGTGGCGAATCCTGATCCCAGAACTTCCTTTGAAAGGCTACAGTTCAAGCCCCTTCAAGTCCACTGAACCAAGGCTTCCTGACACCCAGAGCCGGCGGCAGAGACCCAGAGCAGGTGACACTGAGACGCAGGGCCGGCAGCCATCCTTCGCTGCGTCTCCTTCACCCAGGCGCTGGGCTGGGGTGTTACGAGTTCCTCTCATCCTCCTGTCGCCCTTCGAGGTACCTGTGGTTCTCTGAGCTTTCGACAAAGTCAGTGGGTTCGGCTCCTTGAGGTCAGGACTCGCCCACAGTGCCCAGGCCACCCCGTGAGCTGATGACGGAGCTCAAGACGGCCTGGCCCCGCCATGCTGTTCCCATTCTGTCCTATTCCAGACGCCAGCCCCGTGCCCAAGAATACAGGAGCCAGCGGAAAATAGGCACGTGGTGACTCAGAACTATTGCCCCAGGGCCTCCTATGGGCTGGGGATAGAGAGTGGACGGCAGAGCCCAGCCCTGCCCTGGGGGAGCTGACGCTGTGGGATGCCCACCCAGGCAGGCACTGGGGGCACCCACCTACAGCTCTGCCCCTCCCCTCAGCCCGCGCCCCAGCTGTGCCTAAAGTGTGCGGCTCCCCCAGCCTGGGTGTCCGCACCCGCTGCTCCTGATCCCAGGAAGCCCCGTCTCCCCACATCCAGACGTGGCGCAAACTCAGCAGAGAGCCGATCGCCCATCTGTGCCCCGGCCCCGCAGGGCCAGGCCCCGCCACCGGCCTCCGGCCCCCGAGCTCGCCCCCGCCACACAGCTGCACGTGGGCAAAGGATCTGGCTGGGCGCCCTTGCAAACACCCAATTCACAAGCCCTCCCGAGGCACAACACGGCCATAAAGCGCAGGGAAGGGAGGGGAGGCAGTGCAGCCTCCCCTTCGACCCTTTAATGACTCAATAAAATCATGGCTGAAGTCGCCTGTGAAACTGTTAAAATAAATTCTTCCACCCAAGTAAATTCCGCACCACACGGTCACGGGGTTGCTGAACGTGAGATGCGCTCGCGAAGGGGGGCTGAAGAGAGGCAGCGACGAGTGCCAGCGTCTGGCGCTTGCTGTTGGGGACCATGCGCAGCTCTTGCCGTGGTCAGTCCGCCCAGCGACCACCTCGAGGGGCACACAGAGCCCTTCCCACCAGACAGGCGGGAGGTGGGGGCGCGAGCCTGGGCTGCAGGAGTCTAACCCCAGCCCGGCACCGCCCGTGTGGCCTCCCCCCCCTCGCGGGCTGCCGGGCACAGCGCAGTCCCGC